CATTTGGTATTCAAAAATTTTATTTTGTTTAGACCCTCAAGATCAATATGACGAAAGCTCGGCATGTTTTTGGTGTTTTTCTTCATCCGATGACCGTTTTACCTGATCCTCAAACAAATAGGCACAAAAATTTTCCACGGCGAACATAAATTTTATCCAACGAGCATAGTTTATATTTTTTTCTCGATTTTAAAGGAAAAACAGATAATGGATTTTCGGACAGATTTGTAATCGTACAAGAGGCGGTTTGGTTGTCAGAAGGGCTACAACAAAAACACAAACAGATCGATATCAAGGTAATATACGAGCCCGGCGAAGAGAACGCAACAAGAAGAGTCCTACATAGGTTCTAGTCGTCCTTTCGAATGCACGCTATGGCGTCTGTATGAATAAGAAGAAGAAAACATGTCGGTGAAGTTATACGCGCTTGGACCGGTTTTGCTTCTTCTTTTTTTTAACATTCTTAAAAATTAAGGAGAGATGAAAATTTGTTACCCAAATGGACCATCTTCTCGTCAGCCCTTCGGACATCATTCTCGGTTTGAAGTATACCTAAAAACACCCGTGTTCAAATTTATCCCGAACTCCTCCGATTTGCCGTCGAACGATCGCCAAAACTCTCAAAATAGAAGCAGTGTTTTCTCTAAAATGGAACGGATTGTTGTACGAAACTATCGCTAGTCGAAATGCCGAAAAAAGGAGTGATTTAATAAAAAAAAACCACATGTGATCGATTGGGATAATTAAAATAAAATCATGAGGAAAACAAAGGCGAGAACGGGGGAGCCGGTGAGCGGAGAAGAAGCGTGGAAAAAAAAGGTGAGGACGAGTCGCGGAAATCCTGTGGACGAGAGAAGACAGCCGGGCAGAAGGGAAAGAAGGAAAGAGAGGCGGCGTCGGCCGTTGAACATGAGCGTACTCACCCTCTGCATGACACCGTCCGAATCGGTCCTCATCCTCTTCGCCATTCCACCGTCACCGTTGTAAGACATAATAAATTCGGTAGTGAAAACTTTTAGGAAATGCAACTGAGTCCCTACGGCAGAGTGAACTGGATTTGTTGTTTTGGCAGGCTCGGCCGTGCGCTTTAAGCTGGGAAGGGGGCGAGAATGGCCGACAGGTCGAATCAGCGGAGTCTCCCGGACGGCTCCGAGCCCACCGCCCTCTGACGGCTTCGACCCTAACTCTACCTCTTCCCGCCCCTATTTCAAATATTTCATCTCGACTCCACAGGGAATCTTCACCTTGGACACTCTCACTGTGCAGACACAATCACAAGGAGTCCAACAATCACCACTTTTAATTTGTACAGAGCCTAGTAACCACTTTTACAGTTTTCCTCATCAGACCTGTCATTTACCACTACGAGAACATGCGCGACATGTAAATTGCACAGTCAGTGGATCGGATCAAAGAATTGGACCTCATGCTTCAGTCATTATCGACAGGAAAACTTTTATTTAGAATTTTTAACAGTATAACTCTATATGTTTCTGCGATGGATTAATCAATGCAAACAATATTGTATTGATATTTTTGACTACTTTTAAAACGACACAACTTTTTATAACTAAGTTTTTATCATTTTTTATCATACAAAAACATTATTGTTTATATCATAACTATGCACTATGTGTTTACATATTTTAAAAAAAGTGAAGTATTGAGATATTATGGTGCTTTATGACATTTTGAAGAAATTAAAAACCGTTAATGTTGCACATTTTCACACAGCCTGTCACCTGCCAATATAAGCTTCTGTACAAGGTACATAGAATTTTTTTTTAAATATGTAAAAAAAAAATTCTTGTTTTATATTACATATTTTAGTAAAAATAAAGACATATTTTGAGTTTTTACTTGATAAAAATCTGCTCTCTAATCAATCATAAGCATTGCCTAAGAACCAAAGTTATTAGGTATAAATCCATATATGTTTACCAGTCATAATTGACCGCATTAATTATTTCAATTAATTATTCTTTTTATCTAAGGTTATTAGGTTATTAAGTTATTAGTTATGTATTCCTCCTGGAATATAATAATATAATAGTAATATGAAATATAATAATATAAATATAATAAAAAATATTAATATAATAAAACTATTCAAATGTGAAAAAGAAGAAGAAAATAAGGAAATTTCCCTAATAATATTTTCAAAATCATGCATTGATATTATGAATGAGCCCTCATTTGTTTACAATTGAAAATTACTAACATTTTGAGATATTTAATGGCCAAGGTACAGGTTCATGACCCCACAGACCTCAGATAAATCTCATTGTATAAAATATATCGACTAGTAAGATTAGACTTGCATTTACTGTAGCATTTTTCAGAATGTGATAATTTAAAGGCTGGTCTGGTTAAATAAGCGGTTCAGTCAAATGAAATATAATCAAAATAAACTTCCAAACTATCATGTTATAAATAAAACAAGTTTCATATAATATTATCCTAGCTATACTTAAAGACTCACAAGAAGAAACATGTATAAGTACATGAATTAGAAATAACCCAATCATTGGATACAATAATAATAGTAGTTAGTATTATGGACTCGATCAGTATGGGACATCAAGTGCCTGCCAACCAATTAGGTTAAATTAAGCGAATGCATGATTTTCAATTTGTATGAATATATTTATTTGTGAAGGGAGGGCTTCAAGGTGAAAATCACCATACCGGGCTCCCAATCATAGGTTTAGGCTATACACAATTTTAGTGTAATTATAGGGGTGGAGTCTCAGCCCAAGAACCAAGAACTCTTGAGACCCACCAAACTAAGGTTACAAAATCTTTTAAACATTATGAATGTGTATTTTAATTGTCTTAGCACATTTTAATCATGTTTAAAAAGGTTAAAGATCAAATATAAGGGTAATAAATCAAATGAGAAATAGACAAAATGTAAGGAGCCAGTAATAGCCACTAGCCAGCAGAAAAAAATTCTTTATCTCACTATAATGGAAATTAATAAAGATATTTTTTTTCTCCACACAGTCAAATAGCAGGAGTTGTAAAATTAACAATATCTTTTCATTATAGCATAACAAGTAAAAAATAATATTAATTTAGAAAAAAAGTCTGTCAGATACTTAATTTATTGAGTCAGAAATGTATGAATAGTATCTTTTCTTATAACTGGTTAAAGGTCTGAAACTACTGATATTGATATTTTTATTAAATATATTTAAGTATGCTGTTACAAGAAAAATTATAGTATTTAGCTGTATTTATTTCTCATAAATCATCGTAATAATTTAATCTTGTGCAATATAAGTTTGAGGATTTGTGAAACAATATATATTCAAATAATTAATATGGTCAATTATGGCCACTAAACAAATATGGATTAATTATAAATTTAAACTTATGAAAACGAATATTTTAAAAATAATTGTTTTAAATTTAAATTCCATGTATAATAACTTTGTGTTGTATATTCGTGGTTTATTTAGATTTAATTTTATTATACAATTTTATGTGTCTTTTAGGGCACATAATAAACTACTCACAAATGAATAGGGATGTTGGTAATTTATTCATATTCTACTAATTTTACTTAAATAAACCGATATATTCTTGTTAGTTGGATAAAACAAAATAGAAAATACATTTTAAATTTTAACACTTTAATTTAAATTAAATAAAAATGCTAGGGAAAGTAAATACTACAAACTTGGCAATATCCCTATTCATTTTTAGCAGCTTATATCCTTGCTAGTTCCTCCCCCACACCATAATCCCATAGCATAATATAAATTGGGCTAACACGAAATAAACTTTTTTTGGAGTAGATAAAGGTAAAATGCTTCGAAGAATTCCAAATTAGTAATAGTTTTCTGACTCTACAAAACCCTCTTGACAGCGAACAGGAGCGATCTGCCAATGAAGATTTAGTAGAAGATAATGAAGATCTACATGTGGAAAATTTCAGTGCTGATATTATTTTTCCATGAGAAAAGATGATACATTATAAACAATCTTTGGCTAATGTATAACAACGAGGCCAAAAAAAAAAAAAAAAAAAAAAAAAAAAAAAAAAAAAAAAAAAAAAAAAAAAAAAAAACCCTAACCATCCCTAACCATCTCATTGACTTGCCCCATAAAATTTGAGCAAAAATTTTTATAAAAACTTTACCAGTAAAAAAAAATCAATGGATTATTGTCGCTATGGTGTCTATTTTTGAAGCACTTTTGTCATGCTTTTACTCAAAAAACAAAATATAGAACTGAATATTGCACTAATTTATTGTAATGATTGTAAAACCTGTAATATGTCATAGGGGGTGCAGAAACCCTGTTCCCTGTTATATGTGGCACTAATACGAGAGAAAAAAAATTGCAAATAAAATATACATATTAAAAAAAATTATATTTTACATAGAAACAAATTGTAGCAAGTATAAACACACCTAGACACTTATTACTAGAACTAAATAAGTATTGCACGTTGTACATATCTCATTTTACAATTTATTATTTTTAACTGAATAGGCACATTATAAACACGCTTGAGAATATTATTTTATTTACATAAATAATCTACCAGAATTTAAAAAGAAATAAAACTTGTTTACAATAGACAATTCAGTCTTTATCATTTATAAGTTCATGTGTTTTATTTGCATTTCTTTAAGATTAACCTATTCAATAGGCACATACATATTTAAACGTAAGACATGTAATCATAAGCAGAAGTCAGGGTTCCAAAAAATGTTATAGCTTTGTATGAAAAAATTTAACTCACATACCTTTCCATTAAAAGTATACATGTGTAATGTGTTGATTCAACTTAATAACTCGGCAAGTTTGAAGAAATAATTTTCAAAATGAATTTATTTACATGAACTAAATAATAATAAAGTGTTAAATAAATTAAACTATACTGTACATAGGATCAGGCAACAAAGAAATAACAGTGTGTTCACAACTACAAACTTTTGGCAACAAGAGATTCTTTTTTTTTATCCCCTCTCAGCTGAAAGGCAAAATTATTTAGCCCATCCTGACTTGTGATGTAATTAAGTAATTTTGCTCCTCTTTCTAGGACTGGACTTCACTTGTTTTGATCTTAATTCTGCATCATCCTTCTTACGTTTGGCCGAACCTGACGGCACTGGAAGAAACAGAAATGTTATTTTATTTTAACTATTTTATACTGTATATTCTTACTGATGGAACTTGTTGAAGGTAGCTCAGTGGCTTTTGTCAGATTAGCAGACAAATCCCTCAACTTTGCCTCCCATTCTTCAACATGTTTACGCAATTCTGATATTTCAAGTGCTTGAGCTTTAATTTTGCGCCTGTTCATAGATTCCTATTAGAAACAAATACCTTCAAACCATTTGTATTTTCTTTCCTGGGAAAATTTCATTTAATGTAACATGCAATTTTCAAAATTTTATTGAACTTCTTTTTAAATCCCATTAAAATTGGTCTTTTGTGTACAAAAAAAGTTTACCCTCATGACAAGCTTATTAAAATCAACTACTGTAATGACTTTTTGAGTAGCTGGAAACATATTGTTTTTTGGCTTAGGGAGAACACCAAATTGATCAGCTGGGTCTCTAAATCTAGATCCTACAAATACAGAAAATTAAAAAATTGTGTTTGGAAAAATCACCAGAACTATGAATACTATTTTTAGAAGAATAAACCTTGAAGATAGATGGGGAGATAGCGGTTGCCTTTTAGCTGGGGTAAGATTTTCTCATCAAAATGTTCCATTGCCATTGAAGAAATGTCTCTGAGTTCTTGAAGAATTTCGTGTGTCCTTGGTTGGTTTGGATTATGAGCTACACACCTCAATACTCTCATTATTTCATCTATAACCTAAAAAAGAACACATTAAATTATTCCTAATGTAATTTTTAAAAAATTATTACCTTTCCAGGGATGAAACAACACAATTTGGCATCTATCCACTTGGTATAAGTCATAGAAAGCATTGACAGTCTTGTTTCAATAGCAATTAGGATGTCACACTGCCTTGCTAAAGGATGTGCCCTTCGCTCGGATTCTCTCCTTGGCAGTTTCGCCTTGATTGACTTCAAAGTTTTGCCATGAAACCTTTCAGCAGCGAAATACCCTTTGTTTAGGGCTTTACACCCAATCTCGTTAAATTTTGTACAAACCTAAACAATGATAAATAAAATCACAATACATGATGAAAATTGAAGGGTTCAAGTGAAGTTGTCAAAATGAAGGCACCTAATATTATTTTGCAATACATTTCCAAAGTAATGAACCATTATTTCATCTTTCTAATTTTTATGGAAACATTGAACAGAAAGTATTATTTAAAATTAAAGTAGGCAATGATTTGTAAAGAAAATAAGATCTCATAATAAAAAAACAATACATTTCAGGTTGAATATGAAACAATATTTCATGTTACATGTCAAAATAAAATGAATTGTTTATAAACTTGTTCAGAAGGGGCAACAGATGATAAACTAAAACTTAAAAAGCAAGAACTGAGTATAATAGAACAATAATGAGATGTACATAAAATGGATATGAAAATAGTTCATAATCTAAACATTTATATATTGTGTGCAGAAAGCAATTGATTTTTAAAAATGCTAACATTATCTTGGTATGAGAAATGTTGATATGCATTAGCCGTATGTATTAACCTTTCGAAGGGGCTTTCTTTAAAGTCTTATGAGCAGAAATGAAGAATATTTTATATTTCTGAGATGAGAGCTTGGGAACATTAACATTTAATTGGAAAATAAATAAGAAGACTCGATCTGATTATTCAGTTTATAAAGTAAGGTGAGGTCAAGGTAAATTCTTCTCTTTTCTATAGTTAAGATATCAAAGGAATCCAAAATATTAAGTATAGCATGGGCAATTTTAAGTTTGTAAGCTGTATCTTAGATCTTCTGAACCCTTTGGATTTGTTTATCATAATGTGGGTACTAGATAACAGGAATAATCAGGATGGGATCTAATAAAGGAACAGTAAAGAAGGGTTTTTGAATCAGCAAATACACTGGCTTGTCTGATGTTCCTGAGAGCTCAATAAGAAGTATTTGTGTTCTGTGGGATGTGAGAAATGAAATTCAGTTTGATAACAGTTCCATGATTGACTGACAGACAACGCACAGACCAAACCGCTGGATCTAAATGGCAGAAATTTCGACAGTGCATTCCCATAATGACATGGATAGTGGCTAAGAAAGGATTTTTTGCAATTCCATCCCTAAGGTGTAGGGGGGTGATCCCAGTAGCGTTGGCCAAGTCACTGCGGGCAATGGGGCCGACCGTGGTCAAATATCACATCAGCAGCAAAAGGTTGGGGTGCGGATGTTGCTGTTCGCAAGGCCGGCGGAGGAAAGTCTGTCATGTGCTCATGATGGAGAGACAATTTTTTACCATGTATAGACCAAAGTGAACTGAAGAAGAGAAGAAGTTGAGAAACAAGAAATTACATTGGAATGCCATACCAGCACTCTGCATCGCATTAGAAAGATATATTAAAACCTTATGTGTCCCCTATGGCCGAAGTTGCGGGTCTATAGTATAATCATAATTGATTGGGTAGGTTTTGAGAGTGTGAATTTCTTAATATTCAGCACCAATGAATTCTGTTGACACTATTCATGAGTAGACTTAAGTTCTGGAAATAAAGACTCTCCGGGAGGGTACTGATGGTTTCAAATCATCAGTTTAAAGAAGGAAATTCCTTTTCTTAACATATTTTAAGTAACTAATATTTTTTGGCTTGGCCGGCCAGGCATCTGCCATGCCACATATAGAGATTACATAGTACAGGTAGATTATCGGTAGAATCATTCCTCACACCAAACTGATTGAAACAGCCCATCTCATCTTCCAACAAACTTACAAATTGTTTCACATATTGTAAATGTATCCAATTTTTTCTCCTTGTGGTTATTTATCATATAATCATTGGTCAGGTTTGTATTGCATGTATTGTTTATTTCTGATTTTGACTTTTGCCCTGACACTCGTAAAGGTAAAAAAGATTTGTTTCTGTAGTCGCGAAATTAAACGTCATTAACGAATCTTATTGTTGGGCTTTTGTCTTTGAGAGCCTCGGTAAAAATCTGGACAGAAATATCTCAAACATCGCTAATACTCACTGTCCTATTCAGGGATATGTTGTCAAAGGTAAGAAAAGAGAATATTTTCTCTAGCACAATTTCTGGGAGATCGACCAAGGTTTTCATTTCGGTTCCCATCAGAGTTGTACGAAGGGACACGAAAAGACTCGACGAAGAATTTTGGAACGTGACCGTCTTGTATTCTAGTCAGACATCGTTCTTCTGGATATGAAGAAGTCGAAACGAGCTGGTCGAACGTCGGTGATCTGACCGTCTGTGGCCGGGGTCTGAACTCTGAAGAGTGCGAGGTCGAGAACTGATGGTGAGGAGTGATGACTGAGGAGGTTAGAGACTATACCAGAACAACTCTCGAGTCTCAACCTTCGAGATCGAGGCCGGATGGCGAGACGGGAGACGCACCCTCGCCGCATCAAGCTTCCCCGGGGTGACGTCAAATTACAAAGTTCAAGCCCACTCCTCAATCTTCAAATATTCGTCAGATTTGGTACTTTTTTGTTTGGCAAATATTTAAACTGCTAAAAAATTAATAGGGATATTTATAATTTATTCTTATATAATTAATTTTAATTAAATTAACCGTTACATTCTTGTTAGTTGTATTAAGTTTTCCTTCAGTAAAAAACATAATTTCTAACGCAATTTATAATAAAAATAATATAAAAATGCTATGGAAAGTAAATACTACAAAATAGGCAATATCCATATTCATTTTTGTGCAGTTAGATAATTTAAAAAAATAATGTTTGCATTTGAAAAATGCTGTTATAATGTTAGATAATCATACCTTGTGCAACTGAACATAATAAAAACATGTAGTACGTTTCTAACATTTCTCTTTATTGTTAATTTTTTAGGAATGCCATCAATAAAATATTTTATTGAGTTGTCCAGAAAATAATGCAGATTTTCTTGTGTTTTTTTCAATTACCCCCCCCAATTTGATGAATTGTTTACATTTGATGGATTATTCTTTTGTATGAATGTCAACACTTCCTCTTCCAAACGAAAATGTTATCTTACCTCAGTAGCATTTTGTTACTTAGGAATAATTCTGTCTTTACTAAGATCTCAACTTGTGATTTTTTCGTACTTTCATTTTACGAGTTTAAACTCAGTCGAAATGGTGCTCAAACAGCTAGAAACATTAATGAAGTCTGGGTCTTTCTTTCCTAGATGTTGTTCTGTGAGCGTTGGTCGAAGAATATCACAGAACAACTGTCCGAGAACTTACAGAAAATTTTTCAAATTGATTGTTGCCGACCATCTCATGGAAATTGGAAAGGTGAACAAACCCGAAAGTTGGGTTCCTTGTGCATTAAACATCTGCCAACAAAATCATCACTATGAAGTTTTCACAACACTTCTTTGCCGAAACAGAAGCAAATTTTTTCTGAATAGAATTGTTACTTGTGATGAAAGGTGGATTCTCTATGATAACAGCATCTGGACAGTGGAAAAAAAAGACGACAAGCTTGAGCAAAACGGTGGTTGTCATCTACTACCTGGACACAAAAGGCTGGAGAGTAACAAAAAGGTAGACAAGCCGGCTATGGTCGACAACCACTGGACCTATCCACTGCAATCCAGCCCTGACAGTAAAAATGCAACAAAAAACTTGATTAAAACAAAATGGCAGCATCGGTGGGCTGGATCAGCACAGAAGCTTTTACTTATCAACGTCGATAGGTGGCCCTTGCTAGACCTGATTTGTATCATCCTTACCTGATTAAGAAATAGGCCATATTGACAAGGATACTTACTTTTTTGATAAAGGCCGCATATCTGTCTGTCATGTAGAGAAAGGTTGCTCGATGTGTTCCACTTAATTGAAAGGTGCCATTTCTTGAATACTTGTGTATAGGGTGATGGAAAAATATTGAGTACTCCATGACTGAGTAAATAGTATGGAAGTAAGAATGTAAGAAGGGTGAATGTCAGCCTGCCGGTAGTAAACTACAAAAGCTAGGATTGCTGGTGAACTTCAAGAAATAATCTGTACACACGTGAACGTACATACATGCACGTGCAGATTTGAGCTTATATAAATCAGTAATCAGGCAGATATGCGTTAATTTTTTTTTTTTTAAATGTAGTTTGTGAGATGAACCTGTCACTGAATGGCAGATAAATATGATCAAACTAAACTGGTTTCTAATAAAAAAGTGTGACATGAATAAATGTAAAACACAATACTCTGCTGAATTAAATCAAAAATGCATTCTGCAAATGTAATGGGGCTGAATATTGGAGGTGGGTGACTCGTTTGTTTTGTAGATACATAGTATGATCTTATTCCAGAATAATAATCTTAACAAAATAAAAAGGATCTAAAGCAAAAATGGCTTAATTACAAAATGCTCTAAAGAAGCTTAAAAGATTTTCTTACACAATAAAAAATAATACCTAGAGATAAAAAATTAATTATTTATTTAAAAGAATAAATAAACAAGTTTTTAAATGTGTTTGGACAAATTGAATATATGATTATAATCCACTTACTGATAATTACACAACTTGTTAGTAGTGTAATTGTCACACAATACGCCCATAAGTTATTTTCTCTTCAATAAATCATAAATGAAACTGACTCATTTTTACTTTACACTACACTGCGTACCCATTATATATTTTTTGAAACACCCTCTTATATCTGCCAATGTCCACATAATGCTGAATACGCTGGTTCTCATCCTCTTATATAAAATGTTTAAATATAACTAAATAATTTAAAAATAATTAACAGTTAATTTCATGTATCACTAAATAATAAATCCAAAAAATAAATGAATATAATTTTATTTTTAGTCTCAACAACAATTTCAGGAAAATATATCCATTTGAGTGTGCATCGCTTACACTTATATAGTGTGACAAAAATATTGTTGTAAAAAACAAACATTACAAATAGATAAATATTAATTTTAAAAATTAATTTGTCTTTATTAGAATGAAAAACCAGAGCATTATTATCAAAGCGTATCAATAACTTTATCATGCTAACATATTTTAACAAAATTCCTCTCTATTTTATATATTTTACAGGCTGAACTACTATGACCTCTTCAGCCATCTATTCATTTATTTACTAATTTGCTCCAAAGCCTCCATTTTTTAAGTAAATCTTAAAATGGCCAGATCATCTAGAAAGAGTCTCAGTTCAGCAATTCAAGACTTACATTCCGAAAGATCAAAAGACAAAACCATAACATGACTAATATACATTACTTTTCAGCGAGTAATGACATTAAGTGACTATAACTATATTCAACCATGTACATATTCATTATGCTCTGTGTTCATACAATCATCATTATGCCATCTGAATCCCCTTAAACCCTTCTTGATTTGGGTAAATTGAAATATTGTAGAAATCGCTACATTTCTTCTGCCTGATAGACCACCAAGTACACAAATCAAACGCTTATATTTAAGAAAATTAACAACTTTTGTTTTTTAACTTGAATCCCTTAAACATTTCTATAAGATTTATTCATCATGGCCATGAGAAATGTAAAGGTCTTTCTACACAATTTCATCTAAATTGCTATAGTCCTTGTTGACTTCTATCAACTACTAACTTCTGTTCATATTCCTTATTTTTCTATAACAGCTTAGCAAGTTCCACTTAATGAAGAAATATTAAAAACAGACAAAACAGAAAACAATATTTACAAAACTCTCAGTTAATTTGTTAGTTTAAAGGTGTTTTGTTAGAAATGGCATGAATTCAATACCATTTTAGTTTACAATATATCAAAATAAAAACAAAAATGAAAAATACTTTTTTTTTAATTTATGACTAAAAAAAAGAACAAATTTACACCTCAATAAAATTTGAGTGGAAGTAAAACTAAGTAAATAAATTTTTAAAACAAACAAAAAAAACGTTCCTACTTAATTTTGCTACATTTAGTTTAAAATTATTCAACATCGTCTTCAACCAGTGTGTTTTCTCCACCTTCCATGACCCTCTGCAAACAACAGAAATATATATGAAAAATTAAAAAATGGTAGATAAAAACCATTTTAATTCCTCGATTGATCGTACCTGACTTGAATTTGGAAGTCGCTGCAAAAGAGTAAGGAACAAATTTGGAGGCAGTGTCTGTTGTAATATTTCAAGGATTTGGTTTGGTTGGCCACAGATGGTGACGGCATTGCAGAGATGTTCGATACCTCCGTCAACATCTCCTTGACCCAAAAGTTCTTCTCCTAACTGAACCTAAAAATAACACATTATTTGCCTTGTATAAAGGAAAAATAAAAAATATTTAATATAATAAGGAGATTTAAACCCAAGCCACTGCCAGACCATAGTGGGGGGAGGGGTTTCAATCCCCAAAGAGAAAAAAAATAAAAAGTTGTCCTCTCAAACATCATCAATGAAGGAAGCTGCATATATCAAGGAACACATGGGCTCTTTCACAGAATCGGAAGCCTCTCTTCATCCCATGCAAACAGATCTCCATTTTTCAATGTTTAAGGTGTCAGAAAATAAGAGTGAAGAATGACAAATGGTTATGAGGCTTGTTTGGAGAAGTGTATTGAAAATGATGGAGGGTAAATTGTTTTTATTTCATAACAATAAACCTGCATAATTTTCTGGACAACCCAATACATGTGGTTACTGCTGTCCCTGACAGTCTTGTCGGAGAAATTCCACGAACTGGACTATCTCAGCAAAACGATCATTCCTGAACACGTAGGATCTGGAAGATGACGAAAAGGTTAAGGCCGGAATGTCCCAATCTCCGTACCTGACCACCTTGATCTGACCCTCCGATACAAAAAATGCAATTTTTGGTGGAAACAGGGATGTTTTAAGCTAAAAGGAGTGGTTTTGTTGACTTAACAGATCGTTCTATCCGCTCGATTTGTGGATTTACCAACAGAACAAATATCACTTTGACCCATCATCCAATGTATTACAGTGGTTTGTTCGGATAATATTTTGCTCTCCGTTCACACCATGCTGTAATCTGAGAAGCTTTGGGTAAGCAAAGTGATTTTAGCTTTTTCTATTAAATGTTAAATAAACTGTTCATTGAAGAAATGCCATTGATATGGGAAATAAGACATTCCACAGAAATTCAGCACTGACAAGCTAATAAAAAGAAATTTTGGTCATATTTGTAAAATTTAAAAGAAAATCCCTTCATCCTCCTTTAATTGAGGCCACAGCCCTAAAAAAAAACCTTTCTTTGAACACTGATAATTGGGGTGGAACCAGATATGCCTTTTTTGAGCTTATTTTTTCTTTGAAATAATAATAATAAACACATTAAAATGGGATTTACTTCATTGTCAAGGTTTAGGTTTGGAATTGATACAGTTGGAAACTGCCGAGGGGGGTGGAGTGACTTGTTGAACCAACAATAGATGAGCTCGCAGGCATTCAAGATCATTTCAAGTCTAAACATTTTTCCTGGTTGTAATGGTCAAGTCGACACAAACTACTCTGTGTGAACTAACCTTGTTATAGCACTCGGTATATATCTCGTTTTATATTTCCTTTTGTCTTCTTTGCAAGTGAATGTGTGGTGATGGCGGATGGAATTCTGACTACCCTATTGACCCTCATTTAGATGTGTAATGTGTAACGTGTGGCAAAGGAATATTGAGTACTCCACCACATCAATGAATAATACATATAATAAATTGGAAAGAATGTATTTAACAATGTAGTGTGAGTGTGGCTAGGTTTAAAAACTGCATGTATTGGGGACTTAGCTGTTGACTGCCCCTACAGCACAACTTTGGACTGCTAAAAAAACGAAGGCACTAAATCACTCAAACAAAAATAAATAGAACATTAATAAACTTAAGTTTAGTCTAGATAAAACATCTTTGCTCTGTTAACAGGGTAAGTGAAGTGTGACAAAAATAAAGAAATGTGAAAAGTGTGATAATCAACAGGTCGGCACAAGACTGAAACACTTACTTGATGAAGGAAGAAAGCTTGTATTGCTTCATGGTTCGCCAAGTCTGGGAACTTAGTCTGATTTTTCTGTTGTGATTTCATTTTGTTGGCTTTCCTTCCTGTAATCAAACACAGTGAGGCTGTAAAGTAGACATTTTAAAAATTATTATTTCTTACAAGTGAATTACTCAATATCAATTGTTCCAATATTGATTGATAACACTGATCTGGCTATTCTCGCTGATCAGTTATTCATACTTAAAACATTATGACCAATTTTAAATAAATGTGATGTCATAAATCTGACATCTTAAAATAATTGCAGCTGAATTACGAACCTTTAATGTACTGATATGTAACAAAAGTCTGAATTTTTTCTAAGTATTTATTTAAACTACTGTTAAAATAACTTGTAAATAATTAAATTCTTGCAAAATAAACTCACAAATGCTTTAAGGAATTTGTGATCACATTTTTGATGGAAAAAACTTAAAACAATCCACTGGCAAATCTTTCCTCATACTTGACGATTGACGCCCCACAGAGAGTGAGCCATCGTCAAGTTGTCATCCAAAGAAATGGAATTCGGTCTGTTTGCTAGACATAAAAGAAGTTCAAATTTGTTAATTTATTCCCATCTTTCCCCCCTCCCACAGAGTATTTTCACCCTCAGAGCGGTGTTTTTTGGGGAAAAAAAAGTTTGTTTCTATAATTTAATTAAGACTTTTAGTTGAGATAAAAAGACAGCGTCACGAGTGGGGTTGAGATGGGAAGTTAGTGCCAGAGTTGGATCGAGGTCATGATAGCTCAGGTGGTAGAGTAGCGGCGTATCAAGCTGAAGGTTGTAGGTTTGAATCCTGCTCATGACGCGGACTTTTTATCTCAACTAAAAACCTTAATTGAATGATATTAGTTGGTCAAGCGGACCACGAAAACTAGTGAGTTTGTATGTTGAATCCAATTCAGGGCTGCTGAATACAAACCCAAGACCTTTACCTTACAGTGATGATGCCTTGTCAATCCTTAATTATTGCGCCACTGACACTTATGTGACTATACCCACTTGTTTATGCAGTAAGGCTTCATTTGAGCTGATTTATTACAACTTCTTGAAACCTGGTGAAACAATCAATGCCGATATGTAATGTTCTCAAATAGAGCGTTGCACCAAAAATTGGCATTACAGAAGCCATCTTTGGTCATTGGGAAAAGGTTGATTCTGTTACATGACAACGCTTGGCCCCATGTTACAACACGACAACTGTTGAATCTTGGTTATGAGGTTCTGCCTGACCCTCCCTATTCTCCAGACTTCCCCCTATCACTAACATTTTTTCGGACACCTGGACAACGTTTTACAACATAAAAAATTTATTGATTAAAAGTCGTTAGAAAATGCGTATATAGAATTTGTTAATAATAGACTCAAAATTCTATTCAGAGGGTATAGCTGTTGCCATCACGTGGGGAGAAATGTATTGAGACTGATGGAGGGTATTTTAATAGATAAAAAATGTTTAAAATCATTTATTTGTTTTTACTTTAAAACCACAAAATCTGCATTATTTTCCGAACAACCGCACAGATTGATGTAAGATTGCTAAGTTGAGCTAGTGTGTATATTTTGATTTAATTAGACGATTGAAAGAGCAAACAAAACTGTGAATAACACAACAGTTTTGTTTGCTTTTCCCAGTTTTTATTAAAGTTAAAAAAAAATATATAAAAATGGGATACGGAACTAAGAATAAGAGAATAAGTAAAACAATAAACTGGCCCCATGCTGTTGAATGAAAACGTGACCGGATCATTTATCTTACTTTCTTTGAGTTTCTTCTTAAAGTTAGGGTCGCTCCTCCTCTGCCTGTCGAAATAGACACAGTAGCCGACGAAGAGGGTGCCAAAGATGCCGGCGGCGATCCCCAGGGCAGTTTTCGAGACCATTGTCATATTTTCGCCCTAGGAGACCCGGAATAAAAACGATCGTCACTCGACGAAAAAGGGCTGCCACACTCGACGCACAGACCGCCGAACTCGCAGATTCACCAACCGCACAGCCTTTCTAACCTGAGAGCAGAATCCATGTTCCTCACCACGGCCACCGAAACCATACGCCAATGGATTTTTTTTTACCTTTTTCTTTTTTCTCTTTGTTTTTTACTTTTTTCTTTGTTACTCTTAAAATTCCAAACTCTTGTTCACTACTCTAAATGATATTCTATACTGAAATTTAATGCATTTTTATTTTGGTTTTTTTAAGTAATAAAATCAGTTGTTGTTATCATAATTAGTTTGCATTTGACTTTGAAAAACACATGCTTAGATGATATAGATTTCGTTTCCTTCCATAATATAGACGACATACAAAAATTAACACATTTTTATTATTTACATTATTTTCTATTGAGGAAAAATATTAGTTTAAAAACTCCCGTTTGATCGTGTATGGCACGAAGGTCTCCACTCTCCTGTACAAACTAAAGCGTGACCTTCCAATTCCAAACACCTTATACCTAATCCTTCGCTCCTACCTTACTGGACCATATTTCTGAGTCCGGTAAGGGTCGGATTAATCTGAGTCTCCGACTCCGACTACTGTCCTGTCGGAGCGGGAGTACCACAGGGTAGTGTGCTCAGACCACTCTTGTACCTCCTCTACCCATCACACATCCACAACTTCTGCTCTCTTTGTATCCTTCGCCGACGACGTAGTCGTCCTTTTGTCCAATCCTGATCCTGCTTAGGAGGAGTTCCAATCACACATACATCGGATTGCAGAATGGAGCAAAATATGGAAAATAAAAATGAATGAAAACAAATACACCCATATTACATTTACCCTACGAAGCAAAACTCCTCACAATACATCTCAACAATATCCCTATTTCTAAAGCTGACTGTGGACGATACCTTGGGCTCTATCTTGACTCACGACTGACGTGGAAACAACACATCCAAATAAAAAGACAGGAACTAAATATACGATTCAGATTACTCTATAAACTACTCGGGCGCAATCTAATTTGTCGACAAAAAACAAACTAATACTGTACAGAATACTACTGAAACCAATCTGGACTTACAGACTAGAACTGTGGGACAACGCTAACCATTCAACGAATTCAATCCTTCCAATCCAAAGTCCTTACAATTATAGTTAACACAATTATTGCTATGTCTCCAACACCACCCTCCACAATGACCTCAAAATACCCTTTGTAAACAGTCCGCTAGCAGTGACTCAGGAGAGTTTGGTGTAGCAAGCGCCTAGAAGAGAACACCAATTGGAATGCTGTTCCTGAAGAGTCGAGTTTCTGTCTGTATAGTGATAGCAGGTGCCAAAGAGTCTACTGTGAACAGGGGATGCGTACATACCCCAGTTTGTGCTCTCTACGTGCAGTTTGGAGGAGGTGGTGAAATGGTCTGGGCTGGGATTTACACTGGAGGATGAAGTGGACTCCATATTGTTGAAGGGACGGCATCGCAGTCTGTTGTGTACAAGAAATTATCGAGAAAGAGATTTTTGATTTCTGGATGACAATGCCAGACCTCATAGTGGCAGAGATATTCATCACTGTTTCAAAAACCTGGGATATCATCATCTGCCCCATTCCATTGTCTCCAGACTTCAATCCCATTGAGCACATGTGGGATGCATTGGAGAAGGATTTTGATCACCATCCTCAGCCAGTTGACCTGCTACAACTAAGTGCAGCGTAGCAATACCATGGAGTGAAATCCGTTATGAAATTAGTGACAACCTTGTTAACAGTCTAATGGGTGCACATAGGTTTTAGCTGACAGAGAACATTATACAAGGTATTAATTGTTTAAAAAAATTATTGTGTCCAATAAATAAAATTATTGAATTAAAACCTTTTATTTTGTTATTTTTCCAAAATCTCTTGATTAAATTTTCTTTCAGCAAAAAACATAATAATTTCTAATAAATTTAAATGCAATTTATAATTAAAATAAAAATGCTAGGGGATGTAAATATTACAAAAATGGCAATGTCCCTATTCATTTTTGAGAAGTTTATATAAAAAGAGAAGGGAATTTCGGCCTCCCCCACAGCATGGATCTCTGATGCCCGATCTCTGATGTTTACATTTTTGATTGGATGTTCTGCCGGCAGAAACCTCTCAACTCGCCACTTATACGGCAACTGAGTTTGAACGTGCAAGTTCCAACACATCAACTCGAAGAAAATAGCAAAAAAACATTTCTACCGAATGTCAGTTTTTATTTCATTTGTCTGAATCGTTATTTATCACAATGGTAGTCAGGAATCGAAGGTGTGCCCGGTCAAAATCAGACCTATTTTACGTTTTTTAAGCACAACCCACAAACTGGATGCTTAACTTTGCTTCCTTTCTAGATACGTCCTCTGCCTCGCTTTTCTTGCCATTCAGCAAGTCTGGACCGTCGACAGGAGCAACTTTAAATCTTGTGAACAAAGCAGTTTTTGCAGGTGATTTTATCATTCAGTCCATGCTTATTGGTATAGACACTTCATAGGAAACACCCATTGATACAATAATTCTTCTTCTTCGTATAAAAACCCATTATCTCAAAATGATGATATGTACATGATGTGTAAACTATGTAATATTGCCAATTTTCCATAATCCATTGGTACATTGCATTCCTTAATTAAGTTTTTCTCCAATTCTGGAGGCTTGGCAGCTTTGGTTTGTTCTTTGGGTTGGAGCGAGTAGCATTGTTTCTTCTTTTAACATACCGACATACTTTGATTAAATTTGCACAATAAGAGTGCCGATCACACTTCCAGTGTTATCACTTAATAATAAAGTGTTTTATTTTTTCTTTTACATACCATTGATAAACAAATTTGTATAGATTACACAGAACTTTGGACTTGAGTCCTTCCTCTGTGATGTGTTGTGCACATTTTTTTATTATAATCAAACAAAAAATTTCTTCATAAAATATAAATAAAATAATACATGTTTGCTTAGTGGTAATAATTGACCATATTAATTATTCTTTTTATCTAAGGTTTTTGGTTGAGATGAAAATTTAGTGCCACGAGCGGGATTTGAACCCACGACCTTTGGCTCAATTCGCTGCTGTACTAACTACTTGAGCCATCGTGAATTCGATCCCCTTGGAATCCAACTCCTCATCTCAGCCTACAACCATATTTGAAAATATGGCAAAAAGGGGAAAATTCAAATGGTTGTAGGGTGAGATGAGAAGTTGGTGCCCGAGGGGACTGAAGTCATGATAGCTCAAGTGGTTAGTGCAGCAACCAACGTATTGAGCCGAAGGTTATGGGTTCGAATCCAACTCATGACTCAAATTTTGCATCTCAACCAAAAACCTTAGATAAAAATAATGATTAATTAGAATATGACCATTTAAAGTTTGAGCAAGGTACAGGTAGATTTCTAGCCTTGCCAACATGTTCACAAACGTGCCGAATATCTTTATGACATTTAATTAGGAAAAATTGAAAACAAATTTCGGATGATAGTACACTGACGGACGCCTCTCCAACAAAATTTCCCGTAGTTGAAAAATTAGACAAAGCAGCCTCCTTCCTATGACAATGTTTTTCTAAGAAAGCTGAAAATGCAAAGTTTGATAATTCATCACCATCGATTAATAACTGTGCAATTTAATTTACTTTTTTTTTTTTTAAATCTAAATTTTATCTTTTTTAGGCCTCTAAAAAATTTTCTCGTTTGTTTCAATGTCAAGCATAGGTTGCTGTATGTACGTATTGTTTTCCTGCATGAAATAAACTTATGTATGTTACTGTATATTGTATTTTTCTTACTGAAAAAAAAAGAAAAAAAAAGCCTGTACACAAGTACAGACATACATTGACGATAGGCACACATACAGAAAGTCTCTGATTGGTGTGTAGATGGAATGCTTTGAAATTCATAAAATTAGAGATATTTCATATTATCAGCGGTTTTCATCCATTGTTATGCTTGGTATGTATCCCCCGTATGTATCTGCTGTGTATTGGGTTATTTTATTTATTTATTTTTTGAGGTCTGTAGGGTGATGAAACTAGTTTGGTCGTTTCCTTGTTGTGTCAGACATGTTCCAGTATATTGCTATATTTAATTGGGGGAGAGGGTCTGACAGAACACAATGATTAGAAATGACTGAGCTAAGCAGGACAAGAGTTGGGCAAACATAAACCCGATTGTCTCTAATGTTAAATTCATGTCACCACTTATATGTCTGTGTCTTATTCATCCAAAGAACACATTAGCAATTAATATATATATTTTTTTTTTTCAAAAGAAATTTTTGTGGTATTGCATTTACAATGAATAAGAAATGTAATAAAGTAATTTTTTTTAGACGGTGTCGAAATGTTGAAAAAGGAAAGTCACCGTATGAACTGGATCTCTCCACGCTCTCGATTACAAATTCAGGACTTCAAGTTCAACTGATAAACACAGAAAACTTAGTTAAATTTATTCTTAAAGTCACTCCACTGGAAGATAGTACTCTCAGAATCCAGGTGGAAGAAGAAACGCCATTGCGCCAACGCTTTGTTCCACCCCTCGTTCTGGATGGAGATCCTGTTTTGAGCTCGTTTGTAAAATATTTTCTCTGTGCATATGCAAAAGAAACAATATAAATTATTATTTTTAGATGGGAGGTCAAATCAAAATCAGACCGCAGCGTGACTTTGTCATTTAATTCTTATGAAATTGTTTTACAAGCAGTTCCTTTTAAAATTGATGTCTTTAAAGGATCTACTGAAATTGCTTCAGTAAACGCTCGTGGTCTTTTTAAATTTGAACATACAAGGCCTAAACCGTTCGTATTGATATATAATTGAATTAAAAATTTATTCGTGGCTGATGATGAAAATACCTTGTAGCCAAGAAAAAGATGAATCAGAAGATGCAGGTGCTTGGGAAGAGAATTTCAAATCGCACCATGACAGCAAACCTTTCGGCCCTACTGCTGTAGCCATGGATGTTACGTTCAAGGGAGCCAAATTTGCATATGGCATTCCTGAGCATTCAGATTCCCTAGCCTTAAAATCCACTTCGTAAGTAATCGTTTGCAATATCCATTTATTGTTTTGATTAAAACTAAGTTAGATAATGATGTGTTTTCAGAAAAGGAGATCCATATAGGCTTTACAACTTGGATGTTTTTGAATATGAAATCAATAGTGTAATGTCTCTTTATGCAGCAATACCTTTCCTCATTGCCCACAGGTTAGCAATGTGCCTTATTTTTACAATCATTAAATTAAATGACACGATGTGGTTTTAGTGAAGATCATACGGTTGGTTTCTTTTGGTTGAACCCTTCTGAAACTTGGATTGATGTAGAGACACATAACGATGTTGTCTCCTCAATTGTAAATTTTGTTGGAGCAAAGCAGCCACAAGTTGAAACGCATTTCATGTCCGAGAGTGGAAACATTGATGCTTTTTTGACATTAGGGCCAAAACCAAAAGATGTTTTCAGACAGTATTCTGCTCTCACAGGCACTGCTCCAATACCACCTGTATGTTTTTGGTTTTATTTTGTGATCAACAGAACAAAAATCCTTTATTATTGTTGTTATTTTGTAGTACTTCTCTTTGGGTTATCATCAGTCTCGATGGAATTATAATGATCAAGAAGATGTAGATGCTGTTAACAAAGGTTTTGATGAACATGATCTTCCCATGGATGCTTTATGGCTGGATATTGAACATACTGACAGTAAAAAGTATTGTTTTTTTAAATCAGGTATTTTGTTTATATTACAACAGATATTAATTTTAATTAATTTCAGGTATTTTACATGGGACCAGTTTAAGTTTTCTAACCCAGTAGAAATGCAACAAAATCTCACTGCTAGGGGCCGAAAATTAGTCGTAATCATTGATCCTCATATCAAAAGGGATGAAAGTTATTTTCTTCACAACGATGCAACCAGCAATGGCTATTATGTCAAAAACCAGGATGGCACCGATTATGAAGGTGATTTTTAACTGTTTACTATTAAAGTTTTAATCTGTTAAATTCACTAATTTCGTGGTCAGCTTGACCAATTAATACATTACAATTAATTAAGGTTTTTAGTTGAGATGAAAAAAAGTTAATGGCACGAGCGGGATTCGAACCCACGATCTTCGGCTAGATACGCCGCTGCTCTACCACTTGAGCTCGTGCCATTAACTTTTTTTCATCTCAACTAAAAGCCTTAATTAATTGTAATGATTTAATTGGTCAAGCAGACCACGAAATTAGTGAATTTAAAGAATTAATATGAAATACACTTCACTAAAGCCCTCCGTGGCCATTTCAATTGTCGTCGAGAATCCAAACCGATTACACGACATTTGAAAAATGGCAAAAAGGAAGGAAAAACTCATAAGGTGGGGTTGGGATAGGAAGTTGATGTCCGAGTGGATCGAGGTCACACAGCTCAAGTGGTAGAGCAGCGGCGTACCTAGCCGAAGATCGTGGGTTCGAATCCCGCTCGTGCCATTAACTTTTTTTCATCTCAACTAAAAACCTTAATTAATTGTAATGTTTTAATCTGTATTATTTAACAACTGTATAATAAAATATAATTTTTTTTTTTTTAAATAATACATGAAGTACTGAGTAAAAATGTGTTTACTGATTTTTATCAGGCTGGTGTTGGCCGGGGTCCTCGTCCTACCTTGACTTTTTAAACCCCCAAGTGAGAGAATACTATGCTAGTCGGTACAATCTTCAAAATTATGTTGGTTCTACTGAAAACTTACACATTTGGAATGATATGAATGAACCTTCTGTTTTCAACGGGCCAGAAGTTACGATGCCAAAGGACAAGGTCCACCATGGTGGATGGGAACACAGAGAAATTCACAACGTCTACAGTCTTCTTCATGTAAGGAATTAAAATGAATACGAAATATTCTTTGACATGAATAAACTTGCGGTTTGATAGTTCAGCTCTGTTTATTTTATGCTTGCTGGCATTTTTCCTTCTCACCAAAAATACCGACCATGTATGAAAAAAAAGAACTTGACAGACTAAACCAATAGGCAGAACCGGCTACAATTAAAATATATTCTATTTTAAAAATTGAATTTCAGGTTTCTACCGGTTATGAAGGAATGCTTCGTAGAAGTGCCATCTTAAATATCGAGGAGACGCAAAGGCCGTTTATGTTAACTAGGTCTGCATTTGCAGGCTCCCAAAGATTTTCGGCTATCTGGACCGGTGACAATGCAGCTGAGTGGGCTCATTTGAGAGCCTCACTCCCAATGTGTCTTTCATTAGCTGTTGCTGGTATGTCCTTTTGTGGCGCAGATGTCGGTGGCTTCTTTCAAAACCCTGACCGTGAACTCTTTGCTAGATGGTATCAGGTAAGAACATTTAACAAACTATTCTTTGTCTTTCAGAGCTTTTACAAAGGGTTATTCATTACCCTAAAATAATTACATTACTAACTGAATAATTTAAACAGTAAAAGGTACAATTTGAAAATCGAGTACTTGTTCTTCTAATTCTTATTTGGGTAAGATTGGAGTGTGCTGAATTCTGAACTGATGCAATAAAGTTAGTCAATTGAATTATACAGGTGGAAAATCAATTCTTTAAACTGTAAATTTTCATTTTATATAAAGAATTTTTTAAAAGTTTGGTGTATTGTTTTAGTACACACCTGTACCAACTTTAATACTTTCACTTTTAACACTTTAATCAATTCAGTAAGGGGTGTCAGTGGCCACAATGGTTTAGGTGTTGGCACAGTGTCATCACTGTGAGGCAAAAGTCCAGGGTTCGAATCCAGCAGCCCTGCATTTGAACCCGACATACAAATGGGCTTTTTTCAAAAATAACCCTCCTCCCGAGGGTTCATATAACCTTGCAGTTGAAACCCTCTTTACCTTCTAGAGAGAAAAAACATCAATTTTAAGTTATGTGTTTTTAAACTTAATTTTTTTTTGTTTTAACATGGGTATTTCAATTATGAGGTTATATGAACCTTCAGGGTGCTCTGGTGTTTTGTAAAAAAGCCCATTTGTGATTATGTTGGGTTTGAAAGCAGGACTGCTGGATTCGAACCCAGGACCTTTACTTTACAATGGTGAGTGCTGTGTTAATGCTTAAACTGTTGCAGCCACCGAAACCCCTATGATCTTTTTTAAACATTAATTTTTATAAAACGTTGCATATTAATTTACCAAACCCACTTTTTTTTTTTTTTAAATTTTGAATCGATATTAGATTAGAAAGGTCAAAATGCTTGCTCACTGCATATATTCCTTCATATAAATTATGTTGAAGTAATGTAAAGTAAATAAAGTAATCAGTGTTGTCTTTTTTGAAACTCCTTTTAATATAGAAATATGTTCTAAGTATAAAAATGTTTAGAACATAAAATTCAAAGCCATATCTTAAATTAACCATAAATATATATTTAAATTGTTTTCTTTCTCTCCAACAGGCGGCTACATTTCTACCATTCTTTAGAGCTCATTCCCACATAGAAACCAAAAGGAGAGAACCTTGGTCGTTTGACGAAGAGGTTACTTCCATTATAAGGGATGCCCTCAGGACCAGATACAACTTCCTACCACTTTGGTACACATTGTTTCATGAAAATAATAAAACTGGCATGCCGGTGATCAGACCACTTTGGGTCGAATATCCTGAAGATGCCCAAACCTTCGACATCGATGATGAGTTCCTTGTTGGTAAGAGACAAAAATAGAGACTCGTTTGTTACAATATTAACATTTTCCATTTTTAGGTCATTCATTGCTTGTAAAACCTGCATTTTCTCCTGGTACCAGCCAAGTTCAAGTATATTTCCCTGGAGAAAATACAGTTTGGTATGATATCGATAACCACGAGCAATTTACCTCTGGCACTGCCAACGTACCTGCCCCATTCACTAAAGTAGATATTCAGTTAAAAACTTGAAGCCTTATTATTGGTGTAAAATTAAATTTCTCTATTTAAGGTCCCAGTTTACTACAGAGGAGGAGCTATCATACCCAAGAAAATGAGGGTCAGAAGATCTTCCCAGCTGATGCACAATGACCCATTCACTATCATAGTTGCTCTGGACAATAATGTTAGTTATTGATGTGTTGTGGAATTTTTCAAATAAATAATTAGCCTTTATTTTCAACAGAAAAAAGCTTCAGGCCACTTGTACCTTGACGATGGAACTTCTCATAGACACCACTTCAGAAAAGACAGTTCTGTTCTCATAAAATACGAGTATTCCGATAACAAACTTTCATCAATGTAATTATTGTGGTCTCCATTAATATTAAAGTAGTCGACTCGAACATGCACATTGCTTATAATCATTATTTTTTAGGTATGTTGGTGAAAACAGGTATAACACGCCTTGTTGGGTAGAAAGGATAATCATTTTAGGCTTACCACTAAATACCTATAAAGTGACTGCATATTATGGTAAATATTTTATTTTTATTTGTATTTCTTACTGACCTGTTGCTTAATAATTTGTTGAAGTCGTGAGGAGAGGTCAAGAATGAAGTAGTTTAGAAAAACAACTTTTTTATTTTTCTCCGACGTTTCGATCTTTACTCAGGTCATCTTCAGGGCCTGGGTAAATTACAAAACATCTGTTGATTGGAAAAAATACAATTTAAGATCGACTTCCTTTGAGTTAAATAAAACCGCCTATGATCAAAGAAATTTTCCCGCGTCCCCCACCCTGTCAGTCATATAAAAACAGCATAATACAAATTCACGTTTCACAACACACACACAAAACCAATATGACACCAGAAGAATTAACACCACACATTATGTGAGTATGAAAATACTGGTTCAAAATTTATATTATATTGTATTTTTTCCAATCAACAGATGTTTTGTAATTTACCCAGGCCCTGAAGATGACCCGAATAAAGGTTGAAATATCGGCAAAACAATAAAAAAAAGGTGTTTTTCTAAACTACCTCATTCTCGACCGCTCCTAACGACTTCAGCAATTTAATTATTTTTATTAGTTTAATATTGAAAATAATGAATCTCTTATAAATCTAAATCTCTCTCTAATAAACTTCACTTTTTTACTGGGTTCAGTCTAACACTGAAACTCTTAAATTTATAGATTTAAAATTTTATATTTAAGAGAAAACCTGTTCATATTGCAATTATTTGAAATTTTGGTTGGTCTTATTATTAAGAGTTGTTCTCCACTCCCAAAATATGGGATTTTTAAAGACATTACAACGAGATATATGTCATTCTGGAACAACACCTGAATATGGGAAAGTTTACTTCAACTTTCTGAAGTGACATCTTTAAAGGTGGTTCATGTGGTATCAGCCGAATGCTGCTTGATGCTCGTCTTGGCATACACCAAATAGTGTATCTATGTATATACACATGTGAGGTTCATACTTTGTACAATCATTCAGTTTGTGTGGGAACAGTGAATATGTATTTGCTAAGTGCCATGCGAGTTGTCAACTTACTACCAATTGTATTGGACAAGAATGAAACTGTCATTGCCACAGTTAGGGTTACTGTTTTGTGTAGTGGCTACAAAATCAGTCACAGAGTACTGTTGCCCCATCTTACTTTCTTTCTGTTTCCATGCATCATCATGCAAATCCTCGTTCCAATTCCCATGATTCGTCAGAGAAGCATTTGAAATTATTGGTTCAGCTTGGTACAGATCAAGGAACTCCAAGACTTTTATGTTGGTAGAGTTGATTCCTGAATGTGTGGATTAAAAAAAAAAAAAAAAAACAGCCAAGCAAAGGTGAGCACTGAATATTGTTGCATGGTGCATAACAAAGCATGCGATCCCACTAGTTCAGCAAATCTTTGCCCTGCATTTGGTGAATCCCATATACCTGTACCCACTTTTATGAAAGCGTTAAATTATAAAATTGGATTTATATATTTATCTGTACTTGCCAGATTTAAGATCTTTAAAAAATAATAATGATACATTCAGAATTAATAGATTATTTTTAATTCACAGTATTACTCTTTTCTTTACCAATCTGATGTTTGAAATTATTTTTCTGTTTTAGATAAGAAAGAAATTCATTTAGAGACTGTGGTTGACTATGGAAAGCGTGGGCTGGTCATCAGGAAACCCAAGCTGCCTGTTGCTAAAGAATGGCACTTAAAACTACACTAGAAGTATATTTTAGTTATTTGGTATAAATAAATAGGGTGGGAAGGGGAGAAAAGAGCTGAGGGAAACTCTATATGGGGCATATTTGTCTGTTTCTCTGTTCACTACTTTTTTTTAAATTGTGATTTTATATGTGTAAGAAATAAGATTGAAAAACTATTCCATAAAATATAGATATATATATATGTCAATATTATCAAAATTCTTTTTTTGAGATAAATGTTTTAACACTTCTTTTGGGTATTAACCATTATGCTCTTCTTAAAAGTATTGGGAAATTCTTGGACACGTGATGGTCATTTTCAAAAACGACTATAAGATTGACTTCAAACTCTGAAATTGAAAATACATTATTAGTTTATTATTTAATAACTGAAGCTCTTGTACATACCAACTTTAAAATTGATCGTAGTAAGGGTTGGACATGTAAAGAGCCTAGGAAATATCATGTAAATCGGTATTTCAATTCCACAGACAACATTGCTTTCTCCTATCTGTATATTTTGGATTTCGGTAACTGGAAAAAAAAAGAAAACATGCTCAGGTATTTTTTTCCTTTCTTTGTTATAATAGAATTTGTGATTTTTGTTCTAACAGTATAAAATAAAATTAAAGTTTTTGTAATATTCACCATCTTTTGCATATCCTTCTGCACATCCACATGTTTCTACCCTGACCAGTTGCAGCTCAATTGATTTTATGGGGATTTCACTATGCCTTATAACTACCTAACATACATTTAAACAAAAATTTATTTGTGTTTATTATAAATTAAATAAAGGTTAATAACATTGCCGGTAAATGGGTTGTTGATGCAGCAGTCAATTGAATCGATGACCCCTGTGATTTTGAAACTTGGTATTGTACCAAGATCTACTGCAGCCTCTAATGTTTTGGGTGTCATTTCAAATGGCACTGGCTCCAATTTAGCTTTATCACATTTCTGGCTCTAAAATATCCATTTTGTTAGATTTTTGAGTGAACTGATCAGTTATAAAAAGCGTACATTGTATTCTACTATAAATTCAGCAACTTTAATGATCCCTTTCGCCAGAAAGCCCCTCTTGAGTTCACACTTCAGCGTGTATTGTATATTTATAAAGACACCGTGATAAGTTTCGTACAGAATTCTATTACCCTTAGGCATCAGAGGAACCTCAAAAGGGATGCCTGTCTGTCCGGGTGGCATTTTCCCTGGCCCAGATATTTCTGCAGTAGCAAAGCATAATTGTACAGGCTGAAAGATTAATTAATGTACTGCGGTGAGGCGTGTTTTGACGTCGGAAATTCATCAGATTTTAGCTTACTTTGACAGAATTGTAGAATGCCTCGAAAATTCCAACATTTTTTGGACTGAGCTGCAGGCTTACGAGCCCTTCCATTGTAAGTACGATTCCTTCATGTTTCAACTCTATCGGTGAATCGACAAGTATCAGCCCAGTAATTGTTTCCTAAAAAGTGTCAATTTATTATAAATATCATGACTTTAAAAGCAAATTTAAAATATTCAGCTTTGATTAAATTATTAATAGCACAGAAGATGAAGTTTTCTCCTACCGTTTGTAGCTTGCCTTACTAAATTGTTTTGAATCAAAATTAAATATTTGCCTTATTAATAACATTAAAAAACCATATTTATTAGAAGTTATTAAATATTAAGTTGATGCAGAAGGGATTGATCGGATGGCTTAAAAGATAATTTTACTTAAACTTTTACTTAAACTAAAAAAAATGTATTTAACAATGCCTTTAGACCTTTTTTCAGGGATTGCCAGGTGAATGAAGTAAAGACTGTGTCCAACGAAAACTTTTAATTGTTGTTTAAAATCTGACAAAATTATTAACTGACCCACATTACAATAAAACGATATATGTACATTTAGATATCAGAGAATTTGTTTTTCATATTTTTGATTCTATTCCTTATGCTGATATAATATTTCATTCGTTGGAGTTCTGCTTTCATCATGACAAAATCTTTGGCCTTAAAAGCGTTGGAGATGTTTTCTGAAATTTCGGTTATATTTTTGTTGATCTCTTCATCGAATTCGTCCAATCGTTGAGACCCGATTAGTTTTTCAAGTTCTTCATTGCGCTCCATGACTTCCATGAGGAAGTCTCTATTGAGCTCAATATCACTCTCTGAGGTATCGACATTCTTCAGGTGCAAAATGTACATTCCCCTCTCGTAAGGATCAGCGAGTGTAAAATAAGCCTTGTTAATAAGTGACGAAAGGTTCTCAGCCATAAAGAGCTCTTTCTCTGAACTCTGTCCATATTTGTCAGGGTGAAATTCGACCTGCAAATTTTTGTACACCCTCTTTAATTCAGTCTCGTCCAGATCATACACAACCTGCTGGTCGAGGACATCGAACAAGTTGCACCTCTTGTCAGGGTTTTGTATCTTTTGACAATTGGGACACTTGAGTGAAAATCTCTCACTTCCAAATTCACAATTCCAGCATTTGTAGCTGCTGTATTTTTTCAAGTAAAACGGGACCGGTGGAGTACTGTTGAGAATGTTTATCTTAGTTTGAAATATATTCTGCTTGTTTAAACGGTAAGGCAAATTCTTTATGTACAATAGAGTCCGGAAAATTTCGCGGATCCTCACGCACTTACAAGCCATTTCTTCAAAGAGACAATATTATAACGCTTCCTTTTTAATTTAATATAACCTTACTTACACCTTGACAGTATATTTTGTTGGCTTTCTTCACTCTAATATCTACATTGACCGACATCGTTATTTCATGGGACTGAAGATGAAATGCACAACGGAATAAACATCGCCCTTAATTAACTTCTTATCGACTGGAGTCAAGTCAAAATCAGTAACCGTTGTACGCACAGCTGGAAGAGGTGGTTTTCCGTCAGAATCCGGGGTCGGTCCTTAACAGTGTATCACTTGCATGTCTGTGTTCTGTGTTGTGCTCTGTTCAGATATATGTCGTGTTATGTAATTAACTTTTGCATTTTGCTTCTACGAAATTATCACATGTTTCTGCAAGTTGGCGGAGTTTAGAGAAACTAGCTTTTTTGGGCGCACACTGTTCAAGAGCGAAAAAGTTGTTCATACATTTGCTCCTCTGGATAATAGTTCTGATCCTATGGCAACTTTATTTATGATTAAAGCTCGAACAGATTTATTCTAAACTATACTGTAGCCGTTATGTTTGTTTGATTTTCTTTTGAATTCCAGCTCAATTGAGCTCCGGCTGTAGTAGGTCCTCATCTGATTCAACTCAGCTGAATAAAGATGGGTTACGACTAAGACGTTTTAACGTCTTTTTTATTTATCTTAATTTGTTCTCAGCTATATAATACAGTTCAATTTGCCAATTCATGGTTGCCGCCTTTAGGGAGGCCTTGAAGTCTTTTCCTGGTATTTCATATATGTGAAGACCTTCTGTGATAGCTTTTTTGGCTGCACAGTAAACCTCATTCCCCTGTCTCCACTAGGGCCAGGTACTCTCATAAACCTAATGAATTGCTTGCTGATTGATTCAGAATTTCTTGTTCTTGTGAGTTTGAGGTAAATTCATTCTTAAGGGCCAGTAATGACGCCAACGCATAATTAATTCTTTATAAAGAGAACCCACAATATTTATACGTTTATTAATGACCATTCGGCAGTGTAATTGCTTCAGGTTGATGTCAGCGAAAACATTGTTTATTGTAAGTAAAAGCCGCGCCTACACCTTCCTTACTCTTTGACCCATCAATGAAAACCAATCTTGAGTTTTTCTTTTTTACGAGGGTTCGCAACATCAGAGGTCGTGTAAACCCTCAGGGTGCCGGTGTTTTTGAAAAAAAAAGCCCATTTGTAAGTATGCCGGGTTCGAATGCAGGGCCACTGGATTAGAACCCGGGACCTCGACCTTACAGTGATGAGTGCCGTGTCAACGCCTAAACTGTTGCAGTCACCGACGCTCCCCTTGAGTTTTTGTGTAAGGAAATTATTTTTATTATGCTTGTAAATGTAAGGGGTTGTGAGGTTTTTTATGACTTTTGTGATAGATATATCTGTCTTGGGTTTAGGTAAAATCCATGGGGGAGAGGAAGTTAAATGTTTTCTGGATTTTTTCAAAGTTTTAAATCCGCACTAGGCTCGATCCGGTGGACAAAAACTATCATCCATGGCAAAAAAAAAAACTTTTGAGTCATTAAATGGTGGTAGATCGGACTTGTGATCGTGATGTAGATCAGCTGTTTTAATATCACATGACCTGTTGTCGGCACGTTTTACGTTAATTTAGGTTATCCAGTTTGAATTGCAGTATTAATATCTTCCCTAAATGTTGTTCGTAAACAATCGACGATAGAATAAATTTAAAAGCAATATGTACTAGAAACGTTCGGTTTCGTGGGGCGGTGTGCTGGTCGGGTCGGTGGCGAAGAGGTCGGGGGGGTCGATACTGTCCATATAACAATAACTCCCTTTCTCATAAATGACACTCGCGGATGTATTGAAAAGTATCGCAGTCGCCGTCCCGGTGGGAATCACGATAATAGACTTGCTCGGCTACGTGGCCCGGGTGGACGGAGTGTCTATGCAGCCGGCTCTCAATCCCACCTCGGAGAACGACTACGTTTTTCTCAACCGGCTTTCCCTCAGGTTCTACGAGGTCTCGCGAGGAGACGTCGTCGCCCTTTTCTCTCCGAAGAACCACGACCAGAAGATCATCAAGAGGGTCATCGGCTTAGAAGGTAGTCACCGTCTGTAACACTCTTCCCTCCTCACCGTCACAAACACCTTTTCTACGGAATATCTTTGAAATTTCCTCTTTAGAGTTGGCTTTAAAAAGTGCATTTCTATGGTGGATACCAGGAACTGGAAGAATCCCTTCTGAGCACTGCAGCTCTACAGTGTTTATTGCACTTCTACATGGCTGCACAGATTTGTGGAGTGAAGTTTTAGTTATGAGGTCGTGGATCATGGGGGTTGTGTAGGTATTAGCACTATTAGTTACTGATTATTTGGAGATCATGAGATGAGGAGATATTGATGTTTTATGTTTATATATGTATATTAACATAAAACATCAATATCGCACTGGCACTCTCATCATGACAATAATGACACATTTAAACAGAAAACAAACACTTTGAGTGAGTACAAATACCTTGATTGAGTCTAAAATTTATATCATTGTATAAATTCATTTTTTAACATCCTACATGTATTTGTATATTTAAACAATGTTTATAAATCCAAGCCCCTGAAGAAGATCTCAAGATCGAAACGTTGGCATGATAAAGAAAATGTTTTTCTACAACCTATGTCACACCAGACCGCATCTCACGATCTCCAAATAATCATTTATTAACGGTCACTAATCACCATACGCTATTAGTTACTGCTCTTTGTCGGTGTCTTTGATATATTAAATCCAAGTCTTTTTGATCTACACAACCCGTAAGCATCCTCCTCTAAAAAACTAATAAGTATATATATGTGTTAACAGTATATAATGATCTTTGTGCTGATCGCCTTCACATCGAGCATTGTATAACTCACGAGTGTGAACAAATATCAATGCCACAACTCAGTTTAATTAAAGAAAAGAAAAATCAGAACCTCACCCAAATAAATTACAATAACCTTTTAAAATAATGTATTAAAATAAAAAATAATAATAATAAGTGATCAACGACATACATGTCTCCTTGCCATTGAATAAAATGAACTTCCTCATTTAGGCTCAAGCTCTCCCGAAGCCTTCCGTTAGCTGTACCCCGGTAGGTAGGGATTAGCTTACCCTAATTCAAAGGATAATCCTTATTAAAAAAAAATAAGTAACATCATTCACACCATTTAAACATTACAAAAATTAAAAAGGAAAATAAGTGAAGACCAAAAAGGAGCCAATTAGAATAATAAAAGACCTAACAACACCAAACACACCTAAGAAGATCACTAATACTCTCAGTACTTGGCAATCTTAGGAGTGAGTCGTTAAAATAATTATTTATTAATTATTCTTTTTATCTAAGAAAGATTGGTTAAGATGAAAAAGTTAGTCATGAGTGAGATTCGAACCCTTAGCCTTCGGCTTTTATGCCACTGCTCTAACTGCTTGAGTTATTGTGACTTCGATCCACTCGGACACCAATTTCCCATCTCAATCTACAACCTTTCGATTTATAGTGAACGGTCATGAGTTCAAATCCTGCTTGTGACCCTAACTTTTTCATGTCAACCAAGGCCATAGATGAAAAGAATAATTAATTGAAATAATTAATATGGTCAATTATAACTGCTAAACATGTACGGATTAGTAATTATTTAAGTTTAGTGTCATGTACTTAGGTTCTTTGTTTTATTTAGCACTTCTTCCACCTTTCTATCATGTTATATATGTTAATCATTATTATTTAAGAAGATTAAATATTTATTTTTAATTAGTCAGTCCTTGCTTCTGCTGCTATTATTAACTACTTTTATAAATAGAGTGTCATGTTAAAGTTTAAGTTCGAAAATATCTTTAGATAAGAAAAGGAAAGGAAATCTCCTAAAGTTATACAAAGATATAGATAATATTGTATTGTAAAATCTATATAATTTGATTTTCATCCCCCCCCTAATATCTATTGCTGAATTGAGTATCTATCTATCTAAGTGCAGTTCCGCTTGTTTTCCCTGTCGGCTGTCATTACATCGGGATCAGCTGACTGATCTACCCAAGACAGGTTGAATACCCAAATTCCCTTGAATACGGTTTTAATTAATTTTACTGTTGGTACCATTCATCATATCAGTTCTAAATGAATTGACTTTCTTTAATGAAATTTAGTTTATTACAAAATAATATTTGTACAGCTAACAATTTTGAATTGTATTTGTCTCATTGACCAGGAATTGTGAGATCTTTTATTTTAGCTGTTGGATTTTCCTTGAATATTAAATAAAATTGTTAACAGTTAGATGTGGTGAACAACTACTATCGTATTTTTTATTTTTAGGAGATGTCATTAACACATTGAGCTACAAGACATCGACAGTAAGGATTCCCAAGGGTCACTGCTGGGTCGAAGGTGACAACGCGAACCACTCCATGGACTCTAACATGTTTGGACCGATCGCTCTTGCTCTCATCACCGCTAAAGCTACTGCCGTCGTCTGGCCTCCGAAAAGGTGGCAGTATGTCAAATCCTTTGTGCCCGAGTCGAGGATACCCGCCAACCACCAGATGGAGGCCTAGGCCTGCTAGGACAATAAAGTTTCTTTGAAATAAAATGCGTTCTGTATGTTTTGTAAATAAGTTCGAATTTGACTTTGTGGGCAAAGTGCTACAGGATGCTATATGCATCGGTGACATAGACAATGACGGTGAGTCGGAGTTGCTTGTCGGCAACACCAACGGTGACCTGTCGATCTTCAAGGGAGAAAAGCTCTGGCAAAAAATCTCCGGCCTTGGGATGATCGCGTCTGTCGCTGTCGGGGATGTTACCAACTGTGGGAGTAATGCTGTTGTCACTGTCAGTGTAGAGGGCTGGTGCCATATATACCTATGCCTTAACTATACAAAATCCGGCTCTGGAGAAAAATTACAGCGTTTACACAAACAGTGCATCCCAGCCAACACCAAGGTATATAAATGGTGCTGGTAGAAATAATTTTTTGTTTGTTTTGTATTAGTCTATGTTCATTTCAAATCAGTAATATACTTTTAGTACATACGCATATTTATGATTCTTCACTAAAAACAAAATAAAATAACTTTTATTTTTATTTTTTGACACAAACAAGAAAGACAAAGGAAAATAAACACCTAACTAAAGTTACATTAAAAACAAATAAATAAACATAATATGACTAAAAGAGAATAACAGTAGTAAAGAAATGCTTTTAACAAGAAAATATTTCAGGAGCTATGCTAATGGTACCCATTAGCTGTTTTTCTGTACATGCTTGTTTTTGTAGGCATTAATTCTTGGTGATATTCAAGGGGATGGGCAGATCGATATGATTCTCGGTTTGTCAGATCGTGTAGTCCGGATATACAGGTGGCTTCAGACCCCAGCAGAAGTGACATTGGTCTGTTTAAGTAAATGTGAAAGTGCTAATCAAATAGGATCTATATGTATTATAAAAAATGACAACAAGAAACCTTGTATACTAGTTTCACAGCCGGGTGCGACGTATATGACCATAACTTATATGTAATTCCTTCATCACTAATTAGTTTAATTATTGTTTCTTTCTAATTTCTTGTTTAATTTTAGAGGAGATGGAAAGACTTCTGTTGATTATCATGTGGTCCCTCCAGGAAAACATAATTCGAGCAATGTCTCGTGTCAAATAATTGGTAATGTGAATGGAAATGATAGTTTAGCTATAGCATCTTTAAATGGAAATGTTGTATTGATTAAAGACAGTCAGCCTGTTTGGTAAATATAATTGCCCACCATAAAAAAACAAATTTTAATTATTTGTTTGAAATTTAAGGTCAATAAATGTTGATCATCAAACATTTATTATTAATAAAGTTAATATGTGCAATGATGGTAGTGAACAAATAGTAGCCAGCTCTTGGTCTGGTCATACGTTTATAATAGATTACCAAGGTAATGCTGTGTGCTTTGAACTCGGAACCCCGATTCAGACGTTCATTTCTGGTCTGTATTCTTCTAGAGGGAGCACAACATTTATTTTTGTCACGTTCAACAATAAAGTAATAATTTGCATGTCAGATCAAACGATTCTTTGTCCTGATACAGTTGCTTTTTAGATACTGGTGTACTATGATGTTGCAATGGAGAGTCTCGTTCTGCACAGCTTGTACGCTCTACAGTTGAAGGACTCGAGGTTATCTTCTCTTTCTAGAAACGAACTGAAACAGCTCACAAATTTCTGCCTGTACAATTTCAAGGGTAGTAAAAAATAATATCCATTTTGCCTATGTGTAATATTATTGACTGAAGATAAGATGATTTTGTTAGCTATAATGATGTATACCAATGATGGTGTTTCATCAATGTGTCATTCTTTTAAAAAAATAAATAAATTGTGGATTAGTTGTGTTATAATATTCGCTCTTTTTTAAAATTGACTTTACTTAATTTTTTTCTAAGTATTTAATTTATTTACAATTGAGAAAGAATATTTGCCTTCCTGTGAAATTGATTGACACACAATTGATTTTGCTATGATTAATTATTAATAATGATACAATAAAAAAAAAAAAAAACTACAGTCACTTGAAAATTTATATTCTTCATTTTTATTAATATAATTATTAATTTACAAAATAAATATCAATATTTTTCTTAAAAGACGACTATCCAACATAGCAAGATAGTGAAAATAGTAACTGGGGCAATTGCAACTAGTTTTATTGCTGAAAAACTTTAGAGTATTTTCTTTTGATCCTTCATCGTTTTACCTTTCACGGAAATGACCTTGTTTTAATTATGTGCAAAAGCAAAAATGGCGACATGACACTGACGGATTGTCAGCCCTGTAGGCAATTAATCATATGCAAAATGAGGGTAGTCATCTCATTTTCGCTTAACCCAAAGAGAACGGGGAAGCAGGGAAAGTGGTATTAATGGAGTTTTGGGGTTGTTACCCTAAAGAAGGAAGTGAAGTACCCTCTATGTAGGACAAGGTTCAAAAGCTTCGGTTCTGTAAATTATAAATAAACATTATTTTCTGGAAGTGGTGGGATTGATGAACTAAAACTTATTTTTCCTTTCTTTTAAGTTAATTTTTTTACAATTATGCAATTTGGGGCCTGTTTTCCAGCTCCTTCTTCGCTACTTGTATATAAACTCCTTGACGGCAGCCATGAAGAAAGTAGCTGGAAAAAAGGCCCCAAAATAGCTTTAAGAAATTTACTCGAAATAAAAGAAAAACAGGTTGTAGATGTTCATCATTCTTACCACTTATAGAAATAAAAAGGAAAAACAACCAAAAAAAGGAAAGCAAAAATGTGATAATAAAAAATATTTTATAATTTAATTTATGCAGCATCAGTTTATACACAAATATAAACTATTTTCTAACTAGCCCATGCAGTTTGTGTCTATGTATAACATGCAAATAAAAACATGTTCTTGTAATTCTATTATAAATATAAACATTTATTATTATAATAAATTATTTTATTAAAATACAACAATATAATTCATGCCTGTTTTAAAAACAGACAAGCTATTATACAATGTAGTTTTCTTTAGTTGTGTTCAGAAAAAAAAAGTGTTGTAATATACAATAAAGTGTAAATTGTGAGATTTCCACATAGAATTTGTTGGGTGATTGTTTTTTTGGTCATTATCAATCTTTTTGGACTGTCTGATGGACTTGCTGATGCAACTGACAGACCAAATGGAGATCCTAAATTATATACAGTAATATGTACTTATGATGATGATAATGATGATGGATACTGGGATGTGGTTTTTTTTTGTCCCCCAAGCACAGCAACTTTCAGGCTTGTATTTCCCTAGTTCTTTAGTTCAGTGTAACCAATCTGATCTTTGTCTTAAGAAGTACTAGGCAATTGGCTGTCGTTGCTACCATTCCTTTCACTAGGTTTTTCTTTGTCTCCATTGAGTGGTTGTTTCTTCCTCCTCATTGCATAACCTACAGGTGGGATTATCATTGAATATGCCCATGTTTTCTCAGATGACTGATTAATAATCCTACCCTCTCTAACTGTAGCAGTAAGTTTGCTAGTGTTGAGGGTTGGTTTAGCATAAGTTTACTGTGTCCTAGCATCCCTAGAATTTATCAACTTCTCTTTTGTTAATCCTATTTTTGATGGAGGATTCTGTGTTTGTTTTTGTTTTCCTACAATATGAACTTGCCAATCATTGTTATTTAGGACTTTAGTATATAGGCTTGATAATAAAAGAAATATTATAAAATGGGTTTATTGACTAATAGACAGCATTTGTTCAAAATGTGAGGATGTATTTTGTGAGAAGAATGGAAGTGACAATATTGTTATTAATATCAAGTGAAAGTAAAGAGCCCTAAATGCATGCAAAATCAGAATCTAGAAAAACTGTACAGCAAAATATACAGGACATATGTATGTATACAGGGTTAAATGCCAATACTGCCATGGTGGATTCATTAAATAAACCATAGTTCAGTGCCACCAGAACGAGGTTTCTGTTTTGACTGTGATATTAGCATTTTTGTGATTTTGGACTAAAATGCGATTTTTTAAAAATAAAATCGTAATTTCTCAATTTTAGTGGGATTAACATACAAATCTGACCTTTATTTTGCAAACTACATTAAATTTCCACAAAATAACATTTCCGTTGAAAAATGGTGCTTCCGAATACACAGTAGCCACTCAAAGAATAACCAAAAAGTGTTTTAAAAACTTAAAAAAAAAAAAAATGCTCAATTGTGGCTCGTGCAATGCCTTTATCATCAAAATTTGATGGTCCACTCGCCCTGAGTAGACACCTCTCCGTAATGGGTATTCTACCAGATTCCTTTTATTTTTACTGCGAAATAAAAGAAGAAACGGCAAGGCACTACCTCACAGTGTGTTAGGAATGCTAGGTCCAGATTTGAAATCTTTGAAGGCGCGGACATTACCAAATCACTCCCCGAAATAAAATGGTCCAAAATCTTGGAGTTTGTGAACAAATCCAAGAGATGTATGCAGGACACGTGAGCCGACCAAGTCTCGGGCCTTTTAGGGATGGGGTACGAGTCTACCCAGGCATTTAACCACTCGGGTCTTGGTCGCCCACATATCATCAAAATTTTCGGGGATTTCACCAAAGTTGCCTTATTTTATAAGTATTCTAAGGAAATACTTTTACATTTTTTAGAACTTACCTTAGTGAAATCTTTGCAAGTTTGAAAAACGTGTATCGAACCCAAGGAGAGCAGGAACCCGAGAACATTGAACATGTCATATTTTTAATAAAAAAAATTATTAGTTGGTAACACCCTGTATAAAGAGCAATTCTATTTGAATATGATGATGTTTTAATGGAGTAAACGAAGCGTGTTATTGATTGTTTCATGTTTTCTCTTGTGCAGTATGTTTTATGTGTATCTTAAGTTTTCGGATATATGAATATATATTTTTCGTCTTTTTTATACGTTTTGGAGAAACTTAATTTGGCTGTCTTGTTGAAGTTTGTTACGGTTCTTCATGAAGTGGGCTGCTTACCTGGATTTCTCGTCATCGTCGATAAAACGATCGTATGAATACCTTCTTTCAGTCTATTTTCTTATTTTGTATTTTTAAAAGCGGATCATTTAATGAGACAAAGCTACAGGTTCATCAATTCTATTTGAATCTGATGATGTCTTAATGGAGTAAACGAAGCGATTTTTGGGTGTTTCATGTTTTAGAAAAATTTCGAAAAATTCGGTGACGCGAATGAAAACGCGTAGGATGAGAACTAATTTTGTTTGCAATGTAAAACCAACGGTTTCAAAATAAAAAAAATTCAATTCATGATTTGAAAATAATTTCTACCATTTTTGCAAAATAGGGAAAACGCGTTAATTTTAAGAATGATTCTACGATAGACGAAGACTCGTCTAAAACCGAGAGACGTTTTCCGTTTTTTAATAAAATTTTAAATTGAAATAAAAAAAATCCGCCGCCCTAACGGAGTCGATGTCGCATATTTGTATTCTCAATTTAAATCGCTATAATTGAGCCAAATTTACTTTTTATATGACTGCCCCATCTCTTGAGGTGGGCGAAGGGACTATGTATAACTCACATAGACGCGAAAATACACTTTCTGCATTCCTGTCCAACATATCACAGGACAATTCGGGAAACGGGAAATAAACCACGATGAGTTAAACAAAAATCCTTGAGATAAAGGAAGTCGACAATATGCCTTCTTGGTAGACGTTTTATTTATAAATGATATCGTCCTCGCCCTTCAAATTGGTGATGAAGTCGAACGAAAAATAATTCGAAAATTAATTTTAAAATAAAAATAGAAAGCGCGCTTATCTTCGAAGAGAAATTCCAAATAATAAAAAAAAAAAGGAAAAAATACATGAGAGCCATCGGAAGATACAACTATTGTAACACGGCAAATTATAATTCAAAATTATGCAAATCGGATAGTCTCGATGGGAACATATACCGATGGACTCTCTCCCTGAATGAAATTATGAAACTAACTTTGTATATATTTACATAAACACATTACTGTTATTATTATTACCCTCGATGGGCATATTTTTGATAACACGTGCGACCAAATAAAAAAAAAAACTTATAAAATAATTTTTGAACATGGTTGCAGCTTTAATTTCGCCATTATTTACTGGTAGAAAAATATTATTATATATAATTTGGGAAGTTTTGGGGCGTGTTAGTACATCTTTACCTGGACGAGTATTTTGTTTTAAACTGCAGCCATTTGAGCTTCTCGATCTGGATACTGGCTCCCTGCTTTTATAGGAAAACTAAGTCGTATCCTAAAATGCTAGCCTCTCATTTGTATCTTAGGTTCTCAACTACAGAATAGATATAAAACATAATAGATTACTACGAACGTAGAATAATTTTACTCTCCATACGTCACATACTGACCGCCGAGTACTGATATTCATCGAGGCGGGGTTGAACCTGCTCCATTCTCGCTAATAACTTACTTTTACTCCCCATACGTCACATACTCACCCCCGAGGACTCGATGTTCACCGAGGCGGGGTTGAACCTGTCCATTCTCGCTAATAACTTACTTAATACTACCTAGATGTCACATACTCGACCCAGAGTCCTCGTTATTACTCGGGGCGGAATATTATTACAATTTTTAATTATATTATACATACATATTACATACAGGGTTTCTATTTCAATTTGAAGGGCTATAGAAAAAAAGTTTAAATGGTAACCTTCCATAGTTTTTCCCAAAGATCAAGTAGTGTACACATTTTTTAATATCACTTTAAAATTTGGGAGATTATCGCTTATATTAGGAGGAGAATTAATGCCTAAAAGCCAACATTATGTTGTTTACTATTAATTATGATCGTAATAAATGTACAACAAGAATAATTTATTATTTTTCTT